TTTATCTAACTTAAATATGATTGATGATTTATCTAAAAAAAACTAAAATTTAAAATAAATTTCTATGAATCATAAATAAATGAAAAAACAAAAATAGCTACATCTATCTATATATCCAACGCCAACAGCACAGAATCTACACAACAAAACCTGTAGCCCCCTCCCCACCCAACACTCTCCGTCGCCCCAATTTTCCGGCGCATATTCCGACAAACTCCGGCGATCAATAATTCGAGTTGTATAGATGGTGAGAGAGTGAGGGCCTGTCATCTGAGGTCTTACTCACCATGTCATTGTCTTGCTCCGACTGCCTTTCCGATCTTCTCTGTGAAGAGGACTCAACTACTGTTCTTTCCGGAGTGGGAGACGACTTGCCGGAATATTCGTCGGACATCGAATCTCGCCAGCCGGACTTCGAGGACTCCATCGCCGGACTTTTAGCAGATGAGAGAGATCTCGCCGCCATTATTTATCGACCCTCTCACGAACCGATTGACGCATCTGCCAGAGCTCAATCTGTTGCATGGATTCTCAAGGTATGGTCACAATTTTTTATGTTAATTTTTCAGATTCTGTGTAAAAAGCTTTGTGATGCTCCACTGATGATATTCGAGGCGGCGCATTTTAGCTCTACATGATCGAATTCGCTAGTATGTGCCGCCTGAGAATGAAGAACGCGATGAAACAGTGGCTAAGCAAGCAGCGCATATTTTCTTCACGGCGCAGTTTACGGGGAGTTGACTGATTTTTTTATTTATTTTGTGCAGGTGCAACGTTATTACAGTTTTCAGCCACTAACGGCGTACCTCTCCGTCAACTACTTTGACCGTTTCTTGTGCTCCCATCACTTGTCGGTATGACTTCCGTCACCGTCAAGTACACTTTTTTTTTTTTTTTTTTTATTATTATTATTATATATATATATTCCTTTTCATCTCATTTACTAATTTCCGTCACCTCTTAATTTGTTTTGGATCTGGACATTTAATCCAGATAAGCGAAAATTACTCTTTAGTCTTTAGGTTATTAATTCTTTGATATAATTTATTATTTTTCTAATAAAAATATTATTTTATAAAATATTATAACTTTTGTTCATAATTAATTTATTTTATCCGTCTGGCCTTTAGAGACCATCTTAAAATGAAAAATATACTAGTACGCCTCATCAAATTTTACTTTTCTTATTGGTTTATCCTTTTGAGACTATCTTCATTTAAATGTAAAAATACTGTAGCTATATCGACATTTGATAGCTAGTGGATCTTTAACATGTTTATGGATAGAGTCCATTTAGTAGTTGTTAGGTATGTTTAATTTTAAAGGCAAAACACATTTAACTTAAAAATTATGTAAGTTGCTCTCTTATTGGTAGCACTATAAATAGTGAATTATTATAAAGTACATCTTTCACAATTGAAGTCCGTGGGTTTAATTTCACCTACATACATATATTCTTTGTCTAGCCGATGTTCATTAATTAAACAGTGTAATGTTAGGTGTTGCGAGGAAAAAATGTCACACGTATGGACAACATTGTATTTAAAAGCTGTCTATATGTTATCCTCTGTTAGTATTAATTAGTATGTATCCAATTTGACCTCTAAACTAGTCAAATTATCAATCACCAGTTTGCTACGAAGTCAACCGTTGATTATATAGTGAAATCAATATTCTATACACCACAAGTAAATAATTGTTTAAAAAATACAATTAACTTTTATAATTGATATTTTTACTTTGATGTGGAAAAATATTTGCTTCATAGTAAAACTTGATTGATGACATAGTTTATATACCTTTTTTTTTCTCTTTTTCTTTTTCCTATTACATTATAACCAAGATATATAATTTAATCGAAAATTGTGGAGTATGTGATTGATGACTTAGAAAGTTAGCATGCGTGTTTAATATATACACAAAATTATCCTCTCCAAATTAAAGTATACAATAGGAAGGTTCATTTGTCTTTTTCGGACTCTAACAACCTTGGTATACATACATATACATTCCAATGTGCTTCAATTATCTAACTTATCTTCATTTGTCTACTTATCATTTAATATTTGTTAATGCTCAATCAATGTTATTTTTATTCATATTTATTTTTCTAAATGATACTCAATCAATATTAATTTTACTCAACATTTTTTTTATAAAATAATTGCAGGATATGAAGGGATGGCCATTGCAACTATTATCAGTTGCTTGTTTATCATTGGCTGCTAAGATGGAGGAACCTCTGGTTCCTTCCCTTTTGGATCTTCAGGTAATTAATTAATATTTGGCACTCACTTCATTAATTTTAATTAAAAGTAAAAAAGAAAAAAAAAACCATAATTTTCTAATGAATTTCTCGATTTTATCATAAAGGTTGAAGGTGCAAAATTTATTTTTGAGGCAAAAAATATCCAGAGAATGGAGCTTCTTGTGCTGAGGGTCCTTGATTGGAGACTTAGATGGATAGCTCCATTTTGCTACCTCAGCTTTTTCGCGCTCAAAATTGATCCGAGTGGGACTTATACCGGATTTCTTATATCCAGGGCAAGAGATATTATTCTCTCTACTATCCAAGGTATTATAAATTAATTCAGTAATATAAATTAATTAATTAATTAATAATCTATTCTGTCATTCTTATTATTTTACTCATATGTCTATAACTCATGTGACATGTGGATGCATGCACGCCATGCGCATGTGGGGACTTACCCACCAATTATTTATTTATTTAAGTTGACCAAACAAAACGTCTATATAAATTTTATTTAAATACATTGAGTAGAAAAAACTTTCCTATACACACCTATAGTGTTGATAAAAAACAGTTCCAATTGAAAAATGACAAAATTATTTTGAGAAATAAATTTGTCTATCAATGTTAACATAATTTTTTAAATAGCATATAAAATTTTAAATTAAAAAGGTCTCATATTTGTGCTAATAAATATTATTTAAATGTTGATGAACAGAGACGAGCTTGGTTGAGTATAGGCCATCGTGCATAGCTGCTGCGGCCATACTCTGCGCAGCAAATGATTTGCCCAATTTCTCTTCAATCACAGCTCAACACGCTGAATCATGGAGTCATGGACTTCACAAAGTAAGAATATATATATATATATATATATGTATATTATAATTGCATGAATTTATTGTGGTTTTAGATAAAAGTGAAAATTCGTTTATATTTCAGGACAATATAATGATATGCTACCGTTTGATTCGGAAATTTGCAATGACAAATAGGGCAAAGAAGCAAACAAAAGTTCTGCCACAGGTCCGAGTCATGGCTCAGCCGAGTCTAATCTCGAGTGACTCGTCATCATCATCATCATCATTAGGCTCTTCATCCCCTTCACCTTCTAATAAAAGGAGGAAATTAAATAACTACTATTGGGCAGATGATGACAAGACAAGCTCTGAATTCTGATAATTAATTAAGGTGGGGTTGTGGGTGTTGAAAATAAAATTTAGGAAAAATGAATAAATAACTAAACAAAATAATAATAATAATAATAATTGGTGTGGTCCAAAGTCTGTCTACAAATCCTCAATATTTTTTTTTTCTCAGAGGGGTATTGAGATAAAAAAAAAATATATATATATATTGGACATGAGTGATATAGATAATTAGGAGGAGATACTATTATGTGTGTGTACAACTACAAGAGTTTTTGGACATTTTGGGAGATTTTATTATGGCCCTCTTTTTGGGGGATGGCTTTGCAGATTCCCAAGGAAAGGGGATTTGGTACATAGTATTATTTTGGTGTGAATGAGAGAGAGATATGAAAGAAAATAGTTTTAGTAATAAGTATAGTGGAGTCAGTGTGTGTGTGTGTGTGCATTGCATATGGGGGGGGAGAATGAAAATTTTCAAAGGTTGGCATTGATTGGTGATGAAAATAATGAAAAGGAAGTGGTCCCCACCAAAATCAAAGAGTTTTTATGGATGGGATTGCAAATTTGAAGATTTGAGACAGCAGTACAATTGGTTTGGTTGAAGCTCCTCACATCATATAAGCTGCTATCATTAATGCACCACAAGCAAGGCTAGCTAGCTAGCTATTAATAGAGCAAAGTGAAGAAAAAAGGGAGTATCTCAACTCATCAGATATGCATGTGGCTCCATGGGATTTTG